ATTATTGAATAACACCTTATTTTAAAATCTATTTTGAAATCACAAAACCAATAACAATGAATTTAAATATGAATTTTAAAATCATAGAACCAATAACAATGAATTTGAATACGGATTTCAAAATTACAGAACCAATAACACTGAATTTAACTTGTATTTTCAAATCCATTAAAATATATAAACCAATAACACCCTCTTAATAAAACACTGTTGCTTAACTGATTCGCTTCTTCAAAATGGCGATTCCGAGGTTAACCTCTCTACTCCGAATCAGAAAATTAGCTAAAAGCGATTGGCTTGTAGCTACTATAGGCTTCGTATTGACATTGTTCTTCCTCTCTTTCTTCTTCGATCCAACTTCAGACTCAGTCCCTTCCGTTGACCGAATCACATCCCAACCCGATCTGGTGAAACTGACTCTGTCTAGTAAAGCTAAAGAGAGAGAAGCTTGTACTGTCAACCCAAATCTATCTCCTTTCTTCTAGCTTACGTTTTCTCATTTTTGAATTCTAAAAGAGTAAAGCTTTTTTTTTTTTTTGGCAGTTTGTTTAGATGGAAGCTTGCCTGGGTACCATTTTCATAAGGGTTCAGGGTCAGGTTCAAAAAGCTGGCTTGTTCATCTAGAGGTGTTGTTCTGTGTTTTGTTGATTGAAAGTTTGAGACTTTTTTACTTGGGAGTTATAATATGTTTTGAGTGGAATGTGTGAAAAGGGTGGAGGATGGTGTAGTTCAATAGCGTCGTGTTCTGCTCGAGCAATGACTATGTTGGGTTCTTCCACCTATTTTGAAGATGAAGTTGACTTTCAAGGTGTTTTGAGTAGTGACCCATCTCAAAATCCTGGTAGGAGATATCTATATGTATTAGCTAGTTCTCTATATGATTGACCTTCTTTAATTCTGCTTTTACATGGTGAGTTTTGAATGTATAGTCTTATTTGTTGTTGTAGAGTTTTTTAACTGGAACAGAGTTAAGATACGTTACTGTGATGGTGCTTCTTTTGCTGGACGCCCTGAAGCTGAATTCAAGGTAAGAAAAGGGGTTTGGTAGGGTTAGAAAAGATCCTTAGTGTCAGAATCTATTGAGGGTAGAAAAGAGATCCTAAGTTTCATGTTTCTCTCTTCTCAGAACGGTACACGGCTTTTCTTCCGAGGCCAGCTCATTTGGGAAGCAATTATTGATGAGCTCTTGTCAATGGGCATGTCAGATGCGAAACAGGTAGCATCCTCGTGATCTTATATAAGGGATTGTGTTAATGTTATATACTAGTGACTAAGAAAGTCAGTCTTCCATTTCCATCTATGTATAAATAAAGTATTATTTATCGTTTCTGCGTTTGTAAGATTGGTGGTATACTTAGGTAACTTGCATCTGCTAGTGGTTAATATTTTTTTCCCTTACATATTTTGAGAAAATGTAGGGCATACTTACTGGATGTTCTGCTGGTGGCTTGGCAACTCTTATTCATTGTGACTACTTTCGAGATCATCTCCCAAAAGATGCAGCTGTTAAATGTGTTTCTGACGGAGGCTTCTTTCTCAATGTGTATGTTTCCACTCCTACAATACCTTTTCTCATTTACCTTACAGAGACTTGTGAGTTTCAGTACTACTTAGTTAAGTTCTTTTGGTCTAAGCTGGTTTAAAGAAGCAAAAACCTGTAAGAATGTTTTAGAATTCTTTGCAGATTATACTCCACAGAGCTAGAAAAATTACTGTTAATGTGATATCAGGTTAACAGTGGTCTCTCTGTCTCAGTAAAGCCTGTTTTTTTCTTCTTTTCAGGCCTGATGTCCTTGGACACCCTACGATGAGATCTTTCTACCATGATGTTGTTAACCTGCAGGTTTCCCATTCACTTTCTGACATAGATTATCGTATATTTTCGTGAATGCTTCATCTAAATGAACAAGAGCATGTCATGACATTCTTTTGCATGGGTTTGGACTGATTTGCTATGGCTGATTCCAACCAGGGCGTAAATAAGAGCTTGGATCAGAATTGTGTAGCCAAAACTGAGCCATCCAAGGTAGTTTTTGTCTCTTATTTTTGTAAATTATTTCTTGACTGGGTTATATGAAACTTTTTAATTATGCTTTGCAGTGTATGTTTCCTCAAAAATTCCTTAACAACATAAAAACTCCAGTATTTCTTGTCAACCCAGCTTACGATTTTTGGCAGGTTAGAATTACCAAGCCAAAAATTTAGAACTTTTCACCTGTTTCCATTTGATATAACTCCAATCCATGTTTAGTGTTTTACTAATACCAAACACATGTTCAGATTCAACATGTCCTAGTACCAGCTTCTGCTGATTTAGATAAAAGTTGGGCAAAGTGCAGACTCAATATTAAGGAGTGTGATGCCGCACAAATGAAAGTGCTACATGGTAACTTACTCCTTAGTCAAGCTTAATGACAAAATTGATTATATAACCTCTGTGTCAAAGTACAATCAGCTGATATGATATGTTTTCATACTTTGGATTCTATTATTTTGGGAAAAAAGCTTCTCCTTATACTGCTTTCTAAAATGGTCAGTTGTATAAATCCCTATTTGATATGCAGGCTTTCGCAGCTCTCTGATGGATGCTATTGGGAAGTTTCATCAGAACAAAGCTGGTGGGATGTTCATAGATTCATGCTACACTCATTGCCAGACACTTATGTCAGCGACATGGCACTCCCCAACCTCAATAAGAATCGAAAATAAGGTCACGACATGTGATACACAATCTGTTGCTTTCTTTCTTCTTACAAATCAACTGATTCTGTTATGTTCTGTTGTTGGAACAGACAATTGCAGAGTCTGTAGGTGACTGGTACTTCAACCGGAAACCGGTGAAGCTAATCGATTGTCCTTACCCGTGCAATCCCTCTTGTTACAACCTGAATTTCACCTGAACTTGCCTTATAGCTGGCATTGACCAACCCCTTTGCTTTTGGATTCCTCCTGTTTCCGGTAGCTTCTTCATCCGCGAGGAGCAGCTATTTCAATCCGGTTGAGTCCTAAGAGGATCTCATGTTAGTGAAGCCTTAAGAGCACCCCCATCAAGGGTTGATGGGGGGAGTTCACACGCGAACCGAGAAAAAATAATAATATTAAAATCAGATTTCTATGAACCCCTCCTTCAAAAGTTCACCGCGGTGAACCCCGATGACCCCGGGTTCACCACGTGTCAACATATGATTGGTCCAAAATTAATTTTTTTTTTTTTTTTTTTTAAAAAAAAAAGTAAAACGAAAATAAAAAAAAAAATATTTTTTTATTGCTGTGAACCCCCACCTTGGGGGTTCATCAATGTGGATGCTCCAAGGTTCATCAATGTGGATGCTCTAAGAGCACCCCCATTAGGAGATTTAAGGGGGGGGGGGGTTCACACGTTTACCGAGGGAAACAGTGACGAACTCGGCGCGCGTGGGTTCGTCGTGGTGAACCCGGTTCGTCACGAGTTCATCACGTGGCGGACCGTGATTCGCCAATTTTTTTTTTTTTTTTTTTGAAAAAGTAAACGAAAAAAGATAAAAAATAAAAAATAAAAAAAAAATACAGTTGGCAAACCCCACCTCAGTATCATTAGTGGGGATGCTCTAATATATCTAAAGAAAATCACCTCCTTTGTATTCTTAGTTGAGTGCTCACCGAGAGAAACTTTATTACAAAAACAACACAATCCATATTGGCATATTGCCACCTTTGAATCTCACATGTATATACTATTGTGGTCGTAATACACTGAAACAAGGTTTCTAGTTGTGTTGAAAGAAGTTTCCAGTGCTATGACAGCAGCACACACTTCAGATCCTTTGGATAACATAAGCAAAACCCAAAAGATAATTATATTTGAGAAAGATAGAATTATGTTTCTTTTAAAAGTCAATTCATAACAAAAGAGTTGAATATGTTTATTAAACAAATAATTAATTATTCTTTTTGTTAAGACTATGATTAACCCGGGGTTACTAAGACGGAGTTATTAGCGGAAGTCAAGAAACTGTTTCTTAAATTTTAACTAAAAACGCTAAGAACCGGTTCTTAAAATCTTTATTTAAAAACCGGTTCTTAACGTTTTTAGTTAAAAGTTAAGAAACAGTTTTTTAGCTTCTGCTAAGAATTCTGCCTTAAGAATCTGGGGTTAATCATGCTCTTAGGTTCGGCAAATATCTATGAAATAATTAAAAATATGAATCTATCTAAAAATTTGTATTAAACCATTCCTGTTCTGACTCTCTTCCTTTCCTTTTTTAGAATGGATGTGACAAACTATACAAATGAGGTATGTTCTCCACACGTCTTAACAAGAATACTGCGTTAAGGCAACTACTTGGGGGATAAGAACCCTTTCAAAGACAAGTATGGTGTTTTATTTAATAGAAATGTGTTTGGTCTTATAGCAAACACACATGTATATATATGGGTTATATAGTTTTAAAAAATGACAATATATAGGGGAAAAATGAAAAAGTCAGAGATTTTATCTGCAAAACTCTTTGCTTCCACGTTCCATTCTAGAAATCGTTGACAAGACTTTTATATAAGGATCCACAAAAATGTAATTACGTGCTTAAGCATGATTGAATATGGTTAACTTGATAGACTAATTGGCTTATATAACAGTAGCTTTTTAAAAAAAAATGTTGGAACACTCTGTCCTGATTCCTTATCACGGCACTTCATCGAGGTATATTCTCAATTTCTCATCGACTAGTAGCAGTTCTATTATCATATTATTGTGGTCTGTGAAAAAAATTGAACATGGTCGTATGTTGAAAATTTCAAAAGAATATTATTTTCTTTTTAAATTAATAAATGTAATTTTCAGAGTTCATGCAATTCATACTGCAACGTAAGCAGACAGCAGGTCGTTGGAGAATATCTGGTATCTTTTTATGATATTTATTTCCAATATCTGCAAAGACTATTTTTTATTTCCAACTCTCATCTTATAAACTCTTTTCTTTTTTACATTGTTCTTCGATTCATACTCATGATTGTTACTTTGTTAATTTTTGAGTATATTTGCTAAGTCGTCAGCACACAGATTTGTTTTCCCTAGATAGGAGCTAAAGCAAGCTTCGTGCGATTAGTTATTTTTGGTAGTGACTGGTTAACAACATTAATCATGGAATTAACGTCTAAATCATTTGACTTTTTTAATTCCATTAGTTTAACAGTTTCATACTTTTCCGTTTGCTTCTATATTAAACCAGACATACCCTTATCTAAAGTCAACTCAATATCATACCAAGAACAAATTTATTTAATTTGAATAATAGTTAACTTTAGCAAATCTAAAGGTATTTATAAAAAAAAATAATTGAAAGGGCTTTCAAAGGTATTTGTAAAATACAAAACAAGACTTATATAGGTGAATACTTTCTCGTGAAAACAAGCTAATTATCCCATGGTCGCAATCAAAATCTCATATACAATCTCGTGACGTTTTACATATTAGATATACTCATCACATCTTCAATTCCGAAATAGTAAATCCAATTACATCATGGACAAAAATGTGAATATTTCTTGTCCCACACTAGTTGTCTAATTTAAAATTAGTAAAAATAGGACATATCATTTAAATCATCAGTTTTCAAATTTAGTTGAATTGAAACACTACTTTTCACGAAACTAAAAACTTTCAATTATTGTTAGTTTAGCATCTAATTTTTAATTTTTTGTTGTTTATATTATTAAAGTCTCAATATATAACTGAATAACAGTAGAATTAAACAAGCTTTACAAGATAAATTAATCTACATTTTTGACAAAAAAAATTTATAATAAATTATTTTTCAAAATAAAAGAACAAAAGATAAGATTGCAAAATCTGAAAATTATTAAAAAAAAAAACTTTTTCATTATTATATTGTTTGTTTAAACTAGAAAGTTCTTCTCAAAAAAAGCTTTATTTACAGGTTTAACTAATTCCAATGACGACCAGAATAAAACATAATACCAACAGAATAAACCTCCTAGAACAAAAAAAAAAAAGTCAACTCCTTTCATCATCTTCATTCTTCACCAATCACCAATGTTGCTTCACATCATAAATACCCATAACATGTCTCCACTAGATTTCCCTCCAGTTTAAACCTCCAAATATGCTACACCATACGCCGCCGTTTTAGTAGCTACTTAGTTCCCTAAGTTCACACCTCTTCCCTTCTTCCACAAATGGGGAATAAAGGAAGTAGCTCCCGTCGATACAACGTCGGAGCCAAACGCGATCACGACAGCCTCGGTCACTCTTTCAGCTATATCCGACCGGTTCTCGACGGATCAAGAACCTCTTTCACGCAGGAATCGTCTCTCCAACCCGACCCGATCCCCGGAACCACGACAACATTTCGTTCTATCTCCGGCGCCTCCGTTAGCGCCAATAACTCAACGTCTCTCTCTGCCTCTCTCTCAACAGAGGTTTCGTTAGAGGCTTCAGGGTTCGAGAGCTCTAATAAGTTCGCTTCTTTCCCGCTTCATCCCGTGCCACGTGGCCCGACAAAGAGTCCGTTCGAGCGCCGGTTCTTGTCCGGTCCGATTGAAACCGGTTTGGTCGGGAAGAAAAAAAAGATAAGTGGAAAAAAATCGTTTTCGAAACCTAAACCTAATAATAAAAGACTTTTTACATTCAAAACCATTTTCAAGAAGTTGTCTAACAATCTAGCACGATCGAAGAAGAGTGTGATTGAACCAATCAACAGTTTCAATTCATCTCAAGGAGCATCAGCTTCTTGTCAACACAAACCTGAGATCATTGACTCAAGCACAAGCAACATTCTGAGTAGCCAAGAGAGCCCTAGAACCAAAGAAGTAGAAGATGAAGATGAAGAAGAAGAGGAGATGAGTGAGGCTTCTTTAGAGGAGCCAAAGATTCAATGGGCGCAGGGGAAAGCAGGGGAAGATCGAGTACACGTCATCTTATCTGAGGAAAACGGTTGGCTTTTCGTTGGGATTTACGACGGATTCAACGGTCCAGATCCACCCGATTATCTTCTCAACAATCTTTACACCGCCGTGCTCAAAGAGCTCAAAGGTTTGCTATGGGACGACGATAACTCCGATGATCTTGCGTCCCAGAGCAAGAAACAGAGTACACTGGAAGAAATAACTGATGCTTGTGACTCAAGAAACATAGCTGAGGATGTGAAGAAGCTGCAATGGAGGTACGCTTCGAAACAGAATCACCACAAAGAAGCTGACTCGGAGATGATTAACCACAGAGACGTGCTAAAAGCTCTTGAACAAGCGTTGATGAAAACAGAGGAAGCGTTTGATCTAACGGTTGATGAGAATCCAGTATTAGCATTGATGGGATCATGCGTACTTGTGACGTTAATGAAAGGTGAAGACGTTTACGTGATGAGTGTTGGAGATAGCCGAGCGGTTTTGGCTCAGAGAGCTTATCTTGGGCGTAAGAAGATGCCAAATGATCTCCAGAGAATCAAGGAAGAGAGTCCATTGAAGAACTGTTTGGTTGGAGAAAAAAGAGTGAGTCTTCTGGTTCCTGTTCAGCTCAATATGGAACACAGCACAAACGTTCAAGAGGTAACACTGTCTTGTTACAAACTGTTCTGTTTCGATCGACGATAATTAGATACTGAATTTACATTTTGTTTTAGGAAGTGAGAAGAATCAGGAATGAACATTCTGATGATCCATTGGCGATAGACAATGGTAGAGTGAAAGGTTATCTCAAGGTCACTCGTGCATTTGGCGCTGGATTTCTCAAACAAGTATGTACATTACATTGACAATTTTATTTAGAGAATTACTTTATGATATCACTAAAACACACTTTGTTCTATAATAGTATACAAAGGGGGACATTTCCAAAATATCATTTATTAATCTTAAACACATTTTGTTTTATATTTAGGTTTGAATTTAGTTATTAGGGTTTATGTTGTTTAGTACTCCCTCCGTTTCATATTAAGTGCGTTATCGAGAATTTTTTTAGTTGCAAAATAAGTGTCGTTTTTGATTTTCAATGTAAAATTTATTAGTTTTATTATGCAGTCTATTTTCTATTGGTTGATATATGGTTAGGTGCATAAGTAATTATGTTTTTATATGAAAATATGAAAAAATAATTTTTTTTTTAATCCGTGTGTACAAACATAAATTGATACTTATAATGAAACAGAGGGAGTATAAGGATTTAGGATAACAACTTAGTTATTTATCATATAATTAATGCTACCTTTTAAAAAAAAAATCATTTAAATTCTATTTTGTTATTTTTTGTTATCTAAGGATATTTATTTACCCTTTTATTTAGAATTATTTGAATTAGTTGTGGTAGTAGTTTAGATGATAGAATACATCAGTCACCATGAGACTATTAGATGTTTATTCGTTATATATCTAGCTAAAGAAAACACACTTTCTCTCAGCCGAAATGGAACAAGGCGGTTCTAGAGATGTTCAGAATAAACTACGTTGGAACATCCCCATACATCACGTGCTCTCCGTCGCTTCACCACCACAGACTCACGTCGCATGATAAGTTCCTTATCCTCTCTTCTGATGGACTTTACGAATACTTCTCAAATGAGGAAGTCATCTTCGAGGTCGAGTCTTTCATCTCAGCCTTCCCTGAAGGTGATCCTGCTCAGCATCTCATCCAAGAAGTCCTCCTTAGAGCTGCCAGAAAATATGGTACTAATAAGAACTAAACTCAAACGCAGTTTTAACATGCAGAACGCTCAATTTTTAATTAACAGAAGTACAACTTTGTTTGGATTTTCAGGTATGGACTTCCATGAATTGTTGGAGATACCCCAAGGAGATCGTCGCAGGTATCATGACGATGTTTCTGTCATTGTGATTTCACTTGAAGGAAGAATTTGGAAATCTTCTATGTGAATAAAAAATCTTGTGTGATCCACTTAGTTTTTGTAAAAAATGATATATAATGCAAGAAGAGAATGACTATTTTATTTTTGGCATAATATAGTTAGACGGGTATGTGTCTTCTTCTTGTATTGGTCAGTTAACTATAATTGGTCAGGAAAACAATGTCTCCCTACTTTCAATAAAGCCATATTTTTGCCAACCATTCATAATCGTAATCTTATTGAATCAGTAACCACAAACTAACATGCTTTTTGGTTTGATAACTGGTCACTTGGTCCAATATTAGCTAGGGGCTCGCAACACATGAGTACGTATAACTCAAAGTTACACGTGATACAAGTCATAACTATGCTCTTTCTTTCCATTCTTCTGTAACTAAGAGCATTGTTATCATTAGCAAACATCAAACATCAAACATCAAACTAAGAGTATTGTTAAGACTTTAAGAGTCTTAAGACTAATCTCAAAACTTTTAAAGCCTTAACAGACGGGCTAAAACTAAATAGAAGCAAGAAGGGACATTCGTTCCTCGATAGAAAGTATAGAAACAGTGTTTCGCTGTTGCGGGATTTGTCAACTCTCCGCTTAGATATTAGATATTTTCATTTCTAGAATCTTGAATATATTTATTTACCAAAAGGAACATGAAAACATTGAAAACATTGAGTGCATAGCATGACTTTGGCAACAATTAAACCACTTTTCATATTTGTAATATTGATATTTTGGATAAGATTCGGGAAATGATTTCTCATATATTATCTCCCGACCACACATAGTGAATTCTCTTTTTAAAGATTTTCGTCTTCTCTTTTTCTATTCTCTAATAATATCAAGAAGACAAGAAAGAACTCTTTATTTAGATATCTTTTAGATATTTCATTTACAAGAAAGTAATTTAGATATTTTCCTTGTAAAGTAATTCTTAGATTTACTATTTGAATTTGATTACTGGATTTAAAATTATTGTTTAATTCTTACAAAAGAGGTTATTAGGATAATAAAAATATAATTAGATATCTCAAACTTTCAAATTTGTTAATAGTATTTCATTTTTTTTTAAAAAAACTCTTTTTAAAACTTAGGATTAAATTTAATGTAAAAAAATGCTCTTAAACAAAAATCTCTTTTTTTTTTTGTCAACAAACAAAAATCTCTAAAAAAGTAAAAAAGGATCTCAAATTTTTGCTGTATTATTTTCGGCAAAGCCTAGTATAGAGTGATGATGCGTCATCCGTGCACGTGAATTAGATACGATCTAAATCACAGCCGTCGATAATAAATCTGCATAAAAGGCGGTGTAAATCTGGACGGTGATAAGACTGTAACACACGGAACTCCAAAACGCTCTAGGACGTACCAGAACAAAACACACGCTCCACAATTATTGTCCCGACAATTATTGAAACCGACGTACGAGAATCAATGCCCACATGGTAAAGGCGTAAATAAGAACTTAATTCTGGACTGATATTTAATTTTGAGGAGATAAGAGCGGAGAAGGATTGCGACACGTGTATGGTCAGTATTCTCTCCTTTAGCCTATAAATTTAAAAGCTTCATCAATCAAAAATTTCATTCTGTGATAACTTTCTATCTATCAATTGGGTTAATATTCTTCTGAGATTTCTTTAAATTTTCTCGAGAAAATGTCTTGCTGTGGAGGAAACTGTGGTTGCGGATCTGGCTGCAAGTGCGGCAACGGTTGCGGAGGGTATGTCTCCTGACTCTGTTTTAGTTTTTAATTGTTATAATGTTTTTTATTTATTTTGATATATTTTTTTGTGTTTCATTTGATCCTGACGTGTGTGTCATGTTTTGGTTGATGCAGTTGCAAAATGTACCCGGACTTGGGTTTCTCCGGCGAGACGACCACGACTGAGACTTTCGTCTTCGGCGTTGCACCGGCGATGAAGAACCAGTACGAGGCTTCTGGCGAGGGTGTGGCTGAGAACGATGCATGCAAGTGTGGATCTGACTGCAAGTGTGACCCTTGCACTTGTAAATGAATAAACTAAGAAGGCAGAGATAATCAGAGTTTTTTTATTAAGTAACCGCTAATGATGTTCTAGGTTTGTTTTATGGTGTAATAAAAGGCTGAAGGCTTTTGTCTTTTAGCCGATTATTGTTTTGGTTTTGTGTTAACGTCGTATCTAGATGTCTCTGCCATGTGTGATGGATGAGTCAGTTTGTACTTCTATGGAATGAAGTTGAATGATTCTCTAAATATTATAGTAGTTCTTTTAAATTCTTGTCATCTCTTGTGGGGTTTTTAATTGGGCCTCCAACTGTTTGCCAATTCAAATTCCAAATCATGGTCTGGTTCCCAGGTTAATTAATTAGAATCCGCTAAATAAGAGCCAGACCATTCATTATACGTGGGCCTTAAGGGTTACAAAAGCAAGGAAAATACAACGTCGTTTCAATTGATACAGTTTTCTGTGTCTGATTTGTTGTATTAACACGTCTTTAAAAGAGGATTTATACTTGGTGTATACGAATTCCTCTGCAGACCTAAACCCTTTTAGGCTTGTGTGTTTAGGAGAGAGACATGGATTCTATATTGGTCAATGAGAACCCAATTGTCTACCCTAAGAAACGACGACGTGTTCGTACTGATCGGAGCAACACCGATGAGTATTCAGTAGAACCAATAGACCAGCTCGAGATTTTTGATATCCTTTAATGTTTTATGCCCATAACATACACTGAATTTCTTATTTGTTTATTTTTTTACTAAAATTTGGGTGAATTTCTTATCGTTACGTCTATTATTGTATCAACCTTTTTTCCCCTTGACAATCGACAAATCATATAAGAGATATCAAAGATCCAGAGCATACTGACCTTACGCTGGAGGACCTCCGTGTGATTACAGAAGAATCAGTTGAAGTTGATGATGCTAAGAGTTACGTTAGGTAAAACACAAAGAAAGTCAGTGTGATTTTACTTTCCTTTTTCATTAGTCCAATTCATCGTATCTTTTTATTCAGAGTTGTAATCACGCCAACTCTTCCGCATTGTCACGTCCCCCATCTTATTGGCCTTTGCATCTACGCAAAGCTTCTTAAAAGCCTTCCCGCTCGATTCAAGGTTACAAGGATCTGTTGCGTTTGAAAATTAATCTGTTTCTCTAAGAGTCATCAGTATCACTAGGGCTAACGGAATCATGTGATCGATTAATTCTATTTATTTAATTTTTGCGCATATTTGTGTTCAGGTTAATGTTAGAGTAGCACCAGGGAGTCATGCAACCGAGGCTGCAGGTACGATATTTCAGACTACTCTTGTTAGAACAGTTTTGATTTGTAGGTGACTGATTTTCAATTTGATTTTTAAACTGCAGTCAATAAACAATTAGGCGATAAGGAGCGTATAGTGGCAGCACTTGAGAGTCCCTTCTTTGTGTCTCTCTTCAACTAAATGCTTAAATATGTGATTTTGGATCCATCGATCTAGTTCTTGCACATGCTTAAGTATTCATCTTTGTCTTTAGTTTCTTTATATGATTAACACAATCCAGAACAAACGCTACTACTTGTAATCTTTATTTTCTTCGGCTTCATTCTCTAATATTTATTCACAGTTCTTACTACTACTGAGATATCTCTCTAAACATATTATCACATTAGTGGAACTAGAAAGTTAATGTATACAAATAGAAGTCATAGATAGGAAGTATCATGTGGAAGCACCTTATGGTTAAGGTTTAAAAGTTTATAACATTAGGTCTGGAGTTCGAATCTCAGACTATGCAGTTTCTACACCAAGAAATTTTCAATTTCCGGAAAAGGTGAATGGCGAATTATTTAGATTATTGAGAAAAAACTTACAAGAGATCTTCAGCAAACATAGATTTGAAATATTTTTTAAAATTTTGTTAGTTCATCAAACCCAAAAATAAAAGGCAAGTAACTACGAAAAAGATAGCTTTGGTTTTCTTTTTAGACACATCAAACAAAATAAAGATTGTATACAACTTTAACACACAGATTACTAATCAGCCTCTTCTTCTATTAAGCTTCTTCTCCCTCTCATCCTTTAACTCCGGATTCTGACGCTTGCTCAAGAGCTGCCTGAGTTTTTCAGTGACGTCCCTAAGGCCAATAGAGGTGAAGAAGTTGATGGAGAACCTCATGTTCTTAGGATGATCCTTTGGAAATATTGACTCAAACGTCTCCTCCATGGTCGGATCCTGAAACTTTTCATTCAAATCCCTTAACCCCATTTGCTCACAGAGTTCTTGGAAAAGAATCTTCAGAAAGATACGCGAAGAAGACGTTGTGTCTTCCTCTGTTAGACTCACATTTGCAAGCACACGCCACGGTAGAGCATCTGACGCTAGCACATGAGCAAAGAACATAGCTACATTGTTCAGTTTATTCGTCTCTAGACGATGAACTATCGCATACTGCTGCACAAACAGATTCTCAAAACATTCTCTATAAATTTTGCTTCTTAAGCAGAACCTGTGAGCTAAGTGACCATACAAGGAACGATAAGTTTTCTCCTCACCGCAACATTCGAGTATCATAACGCATAGCTCCATCTCCTGACCTGGTTCTAGTCGGATTTTGAGTAGTTTATGCCCTGCTTCCTCGAAATTAAGACTAGACATGATGGTTTGATAAATTGTTCTCCTCAGAGTAACAAGATCAGTTTCTGTTTGATCATGTATAACTGTCCCTTCATCTTCAACATCATCATCTTCTGTATCTTCCTCTCCAAGTAAATTCTTTTTAAGCTTCTCATACTTCTTTTCATTCTGGTGAAACTCAGGGTCAGCCTTGTAGACATCAAGAGAAGTCTCAGGATCAATCTCATCAAACAGAGAGATCACATGTGTCACTTTCTCATCTAAATCCACAAGATCCAACTCCTCACGAACCGTTGGATAACCTTCAAAATTAGATCTCCTAACCGCCATCAAAGACTCAACCAAACACCGTGACCTAAACTCCAAATCCCCTTCTTGAACAATCCTCCGAAAAACGTCAAACACAAGGCTCAAAACCCTAGGAGAGAGCTCAAGAAGCAAAGCTCCACACTCTCTAACAAACACACCAGCAACTTCAACACTCTCCTCCGTAGGTTCACCAAGAAGCATCTCTATAACCTCAAGTGCTATACTCTCAGTAACGACACGCTGGTTCACTAGATGCGCCAAAAACTTAACAACAGACAACAAAAGAGTCTTGTCGTTACGATCGTAAGCCTTTCGGATCTGTAAAACTAATCTTCTCAACAAGAGGTCACCGATTAAAGAGAATTTTGAGTTGATGATGGAGATTAAAGCGGCGAACACGTCGGTGAGGTTAGGAGAAGCGATCTGAGATTTTAGACAGTATCTGCACAAGAGACCTCTTCCTCTAATGAGATTCTCTTGGAAGAGTTCCAAGACTACATGGTTTAGATTGTGAGCGCTTACCTTGTTCACCAAGGCGTTGATTCTTCTCTTGAGCTCGTCCCATGAGTCTCGCTCCACGTCGATGGTCTTCTCACTCCTTCTGAAAGCGGGAACATAGACTCCTTCCATCTCTTTTGTCTCTCTGAAGCGTTAGGGTTTTGTTTTTGTTCCTTGTTAGGCTGAGTTCTGTAGCTATATATATAGCCACTCTGTCAGACTGTCTCAATCTATTTCCTTTTTTCTTTTTAATTTGTTTTCAATGTTTCCTTTTTCTTATTTGATTTTTCTCATTTATTCCATTTTTCTTTTTTTTTCTGATTTTTCTCATTTATTCCATTTTTCTTTTTTTCGATAAGGTAACAAATCTATACTATTATTTGCAAACTGATTTTTCGCATTGAATCTCCCACAATTAAAGTTAGAGCGGTTAATATCATTTATGCCATTAATGAATAAAATATATAAATTATCAAATATATAAACGAATTTCAAACTTATTTTATTAGATAAATGATTAAAATTAATAATAATAAGAATTATCCAAAATCTAAAAATATATTTTAAAATAAAAAGATAATTTTATATATATTGCGTCATTATCTAAAAAATATTTGTTAGTAGAAATTACAAATTCAAAGACAAAAATACATAACTAAATATTAATCACGTAAAACTACTAATTTTATATAACAGAAATGAGAATGTTGAGTGGTTTTAATAATTTATTTATTAATAATGAGTACATCTATAATAAAATTTTCCAAAAAATTATATTAGATAAGAATTTTCAAATGAAAATGTAAATAATAAATTATCATTATAATATATTTATTAACAATACATTCACTATTAAATAATTATAAAATGATTAGGTCCACATGTGCGGACGAAACACCTAGTAATATATACATTGGAATCTCTATAAATCAATAATGATGAGATTTTAAAATTTTATTAATTTTTAAAAAATGTTAATTTATAAAAAAATTCTTATTTAGTTTTTTTTATTGTAAGATATATTTATTCTAAAAAAAAAATATTTGATATTAGTGTACATACATTAATTATTATTTTAATTTTTTGACATTTATATTAATGTTATTATATAATTTTGTGTATATAATAAATATGCAATTTAAATGTGATTTTAAATATATAATATTATTTTAAATTTTTGACATTTATATTAATGTTATTATATAATTTGGTGTATATAATAAATATAGATTTTAAATGTGATTTTAAATATATAATATTATTTTAAATTTTTGACATTTATATTAATGTTATTATATAATTTGGTGTATATAATATATGTTATATATAATTTAAATGTGATTTTAAATATATAATATTACTAAATCTCATCAAAAATATATTAAAAAGAAATTCATAAAAATAGATTTAAAAATTGTCACAAATATAGACCTTAAATATAAAAATGACCAAAATAAATTTAAATATTTTATTAAAAATAAGTAAATATACATTTATATCCTTAATGTATATACACTTATATGTTATCTTAAATATTTTATCAAAAAAATTAGTAACTTTTTATAAGGATTCACAACTTTAAAAGGTCAAATGGTATCATGAAAAATATCTAAAACAACTTTCATATATAACATATTTCATAGAAAATTAAACATCCAATTTCATCAGATTCAAATATGACTTTTATTTTGGGTTTTATTAACCCAAACCTAAGTCATGAGGTGTTGTGAATTATCTATAACATTATTTGAGAAGTAAATTTGCTTAGTTGTCAACTTCTCCATGATTTTAGGTTATTTTACTTATTTTCATATTTTAATAATGTATTATATAATAAAAACGCATTTATGTTAATAATATTATATTTTTAGAAAATATGTTAATTCTTTGTATTAGATTGTTATCTTAAAAATATATTTTTCAATTATTATTTTAGAAGTAAATTTGCTTAATTGTCAACTTCTCCATGATTTTAGGTTATTTTACTTATTTTCATGTTTTAATAATGTACTAGGTGATTTTCCCGTGCTCATGCACGGGCATAAATATTTATAATAGTTGATTGATATTTACTTTAACTTTTATATTAATTTATAGTTTTTATGTATAATTATATTAATAATATTATATTATTTTAGTTATATATAATTTTAGATATATTCTATTTTGTTAGTTTATCATTTGTATATATATATATATATTGGATTCTATCTATTTCTCTGAATTCAACTATAATCTTTTTTATTCTAAATATCTTAAACTTTTGATTAATTGTTTTATTTACATTTATGTTGGTTGTTATCTTAGAAATATAAGTATATCTTAGTAAGATTATGTATTTTAATATTTTTTGTGCTTAGAACAAAAAAAATAAAAACTAAAGTGTCTGATTCTAAATTACATACATAGGTAATAATAAATTTTCAGAAGCTTATGAAAACATATCAATATTTACAATAATTAAATATTTTAGAAATTTTAAATAATTTATGCCTTAGATTGATTGGATGGTAAACTAAAATTTATTTTAAATCATTTTTAAAATAAAGAATTATAATTTTCTTAAGTATTTTGATTATGGTTATATTAAATTCCACAAACATAAAAACAGAAAATTAAACATCAAAAGAGTTATTAAAAAATATATAATTTTAACTATTAAAATATAATATATCTACCTCGTTAAATTATATAGTGTTATGATATTTTAAAAGAATTGTAGTTATCTGATCAAAAGATGTTTACCATTAAATTTATTTTTAGTTTTGTTTTTAATATCTCTTAAAATATGCAGTAAAAATGTGATTGTTTTTGAGAAATTATATTATATAAGTAAAATATAATTTATACTTTTTGTTGTAACGGTAAGATATTATAATCAAATAAATATACTAATTATAATTTTTTGTCAATTAAACATGTATCAGTTTATGTTACTTAATTATTTTATGTAATCATCTAATAAAATAGATAGATATATACAAAAACTAATTACTTTGAAAATATATATTTTATTGTTTAAATTATTTTTTAAAGAAAAAAATATTTCTTTTTCTAATATCAAGATTATTTGTATGAATTTTTTTTTATGAAAACACATTATATACAAATAT